ATTGAAACAACAACTTACCCCCTATTTAACACGTTGACGACCGCCGTTATGCGCGTACTGCTTCAACATTTTTCGTATTCTCTCATCAATAGGCATTAATCCTTCAGCGTTTTCATTATCAGTAATGAAAAAATTGTTTTTCGGATCCAATAATGTACATGGACCGTTGTGGAACAGGAAAAACGCCAAATAAATTAAGGAAAACTAGTCTGCTCATGCGAAAGTGTGGTATGACATCATACCACACGGTCGTCAACGTGTTAAGAGAAATGCATTGACTATTGGACCTGAAGGGTTTCGTTTTTCAATAGAAAAATTATATGATTTATAGAAGGCAATATTGGGGAGGAGATAGAAATACATCACGCGCGTGATTTTTTTATTTTCTATTGCGTCACTCTCGTGGTTGTTCTCTATTTCAACTCCAGAGCTTCTCAGGAGTAAATTGACATTAATATTAATAACTCTTTCCAAGGGTTTTCTACGAGACTGTTTTATATTTTGTGAATTGTTTCAGGTGGCTTCTCCGGAAGCTGGTGGTGTGCCATTTTCCTGTTGTCTCAACAGCAGTCAACTGACCTTCAAGAATTTTTACTGTGGTCATGGAGTACGATTAAAGGTATGCTTGCTCAACGTGGTTACTCTGCGGGTGCTTGCTTCCGTAAGTACTTGGGCGATCGTCTACATAATATATGATGCGCTATGCTAAAAAATAACACCCTTATTGTTGTATTCTACTAAAAATATATATTTGATACGGAATACATAATATATGGAATATTTGTTAATCGTTTATGTTTAGGAGCACGCGCAAAGCTCTCTGAATACTATCTACACGGATGGTTGTTTGCCGAAGCTGCAACTTTGGTTGAATAACAACGTTTTTCTAGTCGGCATTGTGCTTATAATAGTCGCTGTGATTCAGGTATGTTCCACTGTAGTAGCTGTGCTTATTGTTGTGCAGATGAAAAATAAGTGGGAAAACCCTCAACTGTTCAGTTCTCCACTTGAAGGGTACTGCAAAATGTGCTTTGGTATTTGTTGACTGGGGTTCCATTACAGCGCTATCAGCGGGGCGGAGATTGTCAAGTGCTGGTCTCGTGAATTTGATGGTCATCCCCTAGTTGGGTGAGGGGATGGGTCCCCATCCCCTAGTTGGGGCTTGCTGCACCCGGCCCCAGTCGGAAAATGTAGCTTCGAGATTAGCTCATGTGAAGATGGATCCTGATCTCACAAGAATCAACCACCTTTGAATTGTTCCAAAGTGTATTTTGCTTTTCAATGGCATATTTTTCTTTGCAGGCGTCAAAACTATACCTTGACCCAACATGGATACTGCTTGTTGTTGGATTAGTCACGTTTATAATTGGTTCGTTATCAGTTACTTTTTTCCGATTCGCGACGGTGTTGATTTTCAAACGTTTTCAGGATTCAGTGGCTGTGTTGGGTCACTCCGAGAAAACACTTCATTTCTGACGTTTTATTCGTCTTTATTAGGTCTATTATTGATAGCCGAGTTTGCCGGAGCGGTGTTTGCGTATGCTTGCCGAGACCAGTTGGACACGTATATACGGAACTTATTGAATGATGTGGTATGTTTTGTTTCCAGTTTCGCTAGAGGGACAGATTTTTGTTTGTTGAGTCACCGTTAGGGTTCCCGCTATCGCCTTTATTGATGTTGGATGAGTCATCGCACCGGGCGCAGCTTTTCGTGTTTGGAATCGAATACTTTTTCAAGCTCCGTCAAAGGGTTGTTTCTTTAGGTGGTCGGATACCGGGATGATCCGGATCTGCAAGTATTGATCGACACGATGCAGGAGTCTTGGCACTGTTGTGGAATAAATGGTGCTGACGATTGGGATCGAAATACGTACTTTTCCATTGCAGCACGAGAGGTAAGTAACGTTTTTTCTAGGCCCTTGTAGCAGCAAAGTTATTGAAGAATCATAAAGTACTCACGACAGTCAACTTTTTCCATTTTTTTCTTGGATCAGTTGTAAGCTACGTAATCAATGACTCATGATTAGTAAGCCTGAAATGTAATTGCATGTAGCAGAGCGCTAGAACATAACAGAAAGTGGATGTAAGCAATCGCTAGGCTTTTGTGCTCTAATTTGGCGATATACTTCGAGATAACATATTGCTAAGTATTTTTTAAACAAGTTATTCTCTTCCCATATTTATTTTGCTGAGCAAAGTAGCCTAGAATTGAAACAAGAACTTACCCCCTATTTAACACGTTGGCGACCGCCGTTGCGCGTACTGCTTCAACATTTTTCGTATTCTCTCATCAATAGGCATTAATCCTTCAGCGTTTTCATTATCAGTAATGAAAAAATTGTTTTTCGGATCCAATAATGTACATGGACCGTTGTGGAACAGGAAAAACGCCAAATAAATTAAGGAAAACTAGTCTGCTCATGCGAAAGTGTGGTATGACATCATACCACACGGTCGTCAACGTTAAGAAACAATCCATGACCTATTCGGGCACCATAAACAGTTCGTTTTACAATTACGAAAAACTTAACATATTATAGAAGGCACCATATGGGAGGCAGATAAGAAATAAACATCACTTTACCGCTCCACGAATGGAATTCTTATATTTTGCATATCAACTACCTGTGAGTTGATTCTACCGTAGTTTCAGCCTCCAACAGACTCTCAGAGTAAATACTGAGACATATATTAATAAAAACTCTCCCACCATGTTCTCCGCACCCGTTTATATTTGTCAATGTTGTCAGGTACTCTTCCGAAAAAGCTGCGTGGTGTTCCATTTTTCCTGAGTTCAACAGCAATCAACTGATCGCTCAAGTAATTTACTGTGGCATGAGTACGATAAAAGAGCCTCCACTCCACACCGTTACTCGCGGTGCTTACTCCGTAATACATGGCCGACGTCTACATAAATATATTGAGCCTAATGCTAAAAATAACACCGCTTATTGTTTGTATCTACGAATAAATATATATTGCATACGCTATACCATAAATACCACGTCCGGCGAAATATTTTAACTCGTTAGTAAGCGAATCACGCCATACAGTTCTCCCTGAAAATACCTATCTAGCAGCGGATTTGTATGCCGAACTGCACACTATACGGTCTGAATCTACACACCCGTTTTTCCTAAGTCGGCAGCTCGCGCTTATAAACCAGTTCGCTGTCATCAGGTAAAGTTCCGCTGTTGATACCTGTGTTATTGTTGTGCAGATGCAAAAATTAGTGTAAAACCCTCAACCTGCTTCTCGTTCTCCACTTGAAGGATACATGCAAAATTGCTTGTATTTGTTGGACGAGGTTTCCATTCCAAGTGAGACATTAATCGACAATTTCAACACCGCACGAAGTTATTATTGCTCTCTGGGTAGTAAGGCCGAATTAATTCCAGTGCTCATGACCAGTTTTTATGATGTCGCTTTGCGAGGCTCAGTGTAGTTTCATGAAGCTATGGAAAATTTGACAAGAATTCAGTTTTTCTTTGCTTTTTGGCTGTGATATTTATTCTCTATCCCTTTATAGACTTTTTGGGTCAAGGGTACATAAAAGTTTGGAGAACGTGAAAGATAAGTGCGTTCGGTTCGGTTTAAGGTGTTGCGATGTTCCAGCTGTGTGTGTGAGGGGGGGGGGTGTTGGGTCGTCCGGGTCGTGTTGGTCACTAAATTTTTTCTGGACTGAACGGTACGCTTTCACTGTAGTTAACTCGCTGTCATGCCAAGATCCTCGATAATGCTATTCTTTCTTTTTCAGATCCTTGGCATTTGTTTCGCTCAGAATCTCAAGAGCGACATCTTCGCCCAGCGTGCCAAATGGTACTACACACATTGAATTCCTGGTTTCTGTGGATGTAATTCTCAAGCGTTGGTGATTCATCCGCAATTCACAACATTCCTCTCGCATCTTTCTTCGCTCTGCATAACAACCATGATGTTTCCTCCTTTATATACATTTTTTCTTTTCGTGAAATATTTGCCTAGCATAGTCATTGATACGAGGTATTTTCTTTTTTGTTGTCTATTTTTTTACTTTCCATTAACTAATGTATGAGTTGATCTTTTGCCTCTTCATTGATATTTCCTTTCACATAAGCTTTCAGAGCACTGCCTTTTTAGAATAAAGAAAGGTGGGGGACTCTTATGAACACTCAAATATTCAGCTCACCACTTGAAGGGTCCAGCAGAATGTTGCTTAGATTCACTAAATGTGTTCTTTTACTTCTGTTCTTTACCTTTTCTTGCTAAGTTTTACTTAGTGCTTTTATGTACCTCTGTTGCTTACTCGATCTGAGTTTTCTTTCGCCTAACCCGTACTATGCCGCTCCTCGCCTTGGCCTTCAGATTCTTTCAGAATACTTATGAGGTTGCGATTGTTTGACTTTCGCTGTCAGTCTTACAGTATTTCCTTACATTATGGTTTGTCAAGTTGTGTGATATAATTTGCTATTGTTGTACAGATTGATTTCATTGAATTCAGTAAACGAGTAACATTATTTTCCAACCGATTGTTTGTTTCTGTGCTTACCAGTGGCATACTTCCACAGTTGTTGAGGCTCAATGCTCCCATATCCACATGAAAAGGTGCTTGTCTAGGTAGAAGCTCGTCGTCTGCTGGAGTATTAAATGTACCCATAATTTTATGGACTGGTTCGGTGTTTGTGTAGGAGGATCACTTCTTATAGGAGTAGTTGCGTTAGCGTCTGGCTATCCTTACGGTGTGAAGGTAGGTTTAACCATGATTGAATTCGATTAAATCATCTTAGTGAAGTTTTCCCCTCAGTAGTGTTTCTCGCATTTTTCGCTTTGTGGAACGTCCAGTGGCAGTGGTCCTTGCAGAGCTAACCATAAAGGATACAACCAGTCAACGTTTTTTTTTTCTCTTTTCGCTCGATGAAGCTTAAGATCTCTTTGGACAAGTCTCAATGTCTCAGCCTTTAAACTTTTGGTAATGAGTGGACAGGGACGTGATAGAAACTAACAAGAACTGATAAAAGCTGATAAAGATCATTATAGGGCCAGTATCATCTATTTCCTTTCTCAACGTTCGTTCTTTAAATAATGCAACGGAAAAATAATAACGACCACTGAGTTGGGAGCGCAAAAACTGTCAGATAGCCATCGTTTATTAGAGCTCAGGAACTTTTTTACGGTACCCACCTAAGAAGCCAGCTTCTCTGCATTCCGCGGAATTGTTACTACCGAATGTGAACCTTGAATTCTCCTTATATGTGGTATGCGACACGTTCGCAAGCAGTTCCTATGAACGGGCACCAGTGTAATGACACCGGTTCGTTTTGTGTACGATAAGAGCTCGATCAACTCTGACGAAAAGGCCAACGGCTCAACAATGCTTTGTGCCGAATTCAAACTGAACTTCATCCCCAGCATACGATTAGAAAGGGGAAGGTCACAAGGTAATCTGGTAAAGCACTAATGAATTAGATCGACGCAACTAGCGTGTTAAATACAATACAAAGTTATAGAGGTGCTTGCTGGGGATTCTAGAACTTCTGCCTTGGGACGCTGACGAATCGAAAACGACTACAAAAGTATTAAATGTGCAATTCGGGGTTAACCTGAGAAGATATAAAGACTAAGCATTTCCGTGATCAATCCCTTTTCGGATACGAAAACGAAGCAACGCCATTCTACTTCATTGTACATTATTAGTGCGTTTGAATGCAGTTGTGACCACGCTATAACAATGATTGCGGGTGCCAAGCCGATGTTCAAGTCAGTGTTTTTATCCTCCCAGACAAGTCTGGTACCAATTAACCGACCCCGGAGGGATGGAAGGCTTGGTTGGCCCGGGCGACTCACGACCCAGGAATTGATCCCGGACCGCTCGCGTGGTGAGCGCGCCACTTGTCACTGCACCACTTCCGCCCACTTGCTGGGCCATACCACAGCATATAAAGAGAGTGAGCCCTATTATCCAAGTGAGCTGCATCCCACTGCTAATTAGTTGTTTTCGAGCTACTTTTCGGTCGTTATGATTTGCATATTTCCGATTGCAGCTGGCTATCAGAATATAAACGCAGCTGAGGGTTAAGAGTTAGACGGCTAAGGCTTAAAAGCGATTAGTCGCGCATAAGCCGTGCTCCATATCGTGAAAGTTACAATTAGTAAACGCGTGACCCCAGTGCTTTGCTTTATCGCAGTGGAGTTCTTCCCTCTTCTTAAACTTGTTGCCAACTTTTAGGCGGTTTCAGAATTTTGCTATCTTTGTGGAGTTGGCTAATAACGAAAGTCCGATGAATGGTCTGCTATGGTGTTCTTTGCAGATCAAAATTGTACCTGATGAGTAGTCACCGTGATGAACGTCCTATTCTGCAGAAAGCCCCTGCATCCAGCCAGAGTCCAACCCTGTCATCCCGCACATGGAAAGTTATATTTAGCTGAAGTCCACACTCTATACTCTAGCCTATCGTCCAATCCGCCCACGGTGCCGTCTAACGTGAGTCTGTATGTCGACATCGAACTGATAGCACTCAGACCAGCTCTCTCTCGCCGCAACGCACCATTCTCCCCGTTACTTTCTATTTTGCATGCAGCATCCAAACCTATGTCTCATATACGTAACGAACTGCGTAAGCCCTTTTCCCCACACACACCTTGCCGCATCCCGTCGTCCCGCCACTCGCTCTTGCTCCTGTCCCATCGTCAATCGTGTCACTCCCAGGACTAGACTCATTGTCATCAGATCCAGATCTTCGACAGCTATCCTACCTCCGCGCTCCTTTCAGCCTCACACGTTCCCTCGACGGATCACATCTACCTCTCTCTCAACTACTACCTCCCACACCCTCAACGCCCTGTATAAATTTTCACAGCAGCCAATTTCGATATTAATCTATACACGACTATCTCGACACGCGAAATCCTATACGTACTCTTCTCGTCCCCCTTCACTCACACGACACTTCGTCTAACACACACACACACACCCGTGAACTCCGGACCTTTTGTGGATATATTAGTTCGTGTTAGAGTCATTAGCCTTAATACGTATCTCCCGCGGCCATTCACTCCTGGCCCCCACACACAACACACCACCTCGCTCCCCCCGCTGATCCACGGCCCTTTCTCATCATCCTCCCATAGTTTTTTCGCGCCGTCGACACCCCCCGCCCTTTCCTCCTCAACGCCGCTGCGGCAGGGTTAGTAGAGCTAATCAGGTTTCAACATCATATGACTAAGTTTGTAAGTCTGTGTGTAGTTCTACCATGTTCCCTGCTTTACGTGTTCCCAATTACTTCCCAAGCAACCTGCATTTTTTGCTTCTGTCACATGCTCTTTGTTTCTCTCGCCAACACTCTCGCTGGACCCTACATTTCATATTCACCTCAATTGGCCAGTCATACTGAGAGAAGTCCCCTGAAGCATACGTCTCCACGCCCTGCCCCTTTGTGAACTACCCTTGTCCCCTAAGTCCCTGTCCTGCCCTTCCTCTCATGGTTTCTCGATAAGCCTACGCGTCCCACATACTTACGCACCCAACTCCCCCTTGCACAACACTCCTAATCTCGCTTTACCCCCATTTCTCTCGTCGATAAAGTATATAAATACTTGTACCGCAACCTACCAACAGTAACAGCAGGCTCTCCCCTCCCCCGGCTCTTCATTACCCGATCCTGCTTACTCACGTCCCTCATGCCTTTTTCGCTCCAGGTCCACCGCCCAGTGAGCATCATCTACCTCTTATATTGGAGATTCTGATCTTCACCCACCCCCACAGCTCACCGCCTTTTCACTAATTCCTCACTCACATCAACCCCCCATGACCACGTGGACCCCCTTTGTTTCCGTCTTGCCCTTTTTTCTTCTTCCGCGTTCTGCCCCTCCGTTCACCGCCCATGCGCTCCCCTCGCCTGGTTCTCCGTCATAACAGTTTCACTACGGATGCCACCGTCCGTCCTGCCCCCCTCACCCGCTCAACCTTACGCAAATAACTCATTCAACGGCAACCCACTCTTGCTCTGGTCGTGACCCGTCGGCCCGGGCTCTGGTTCCATACAGTGGTGTAGGCCGCTCTCCCATTACTCTGGTCCAGTCTTGATCCAAACAATTCTCCCCCTCACAGCACACTCCTGAGCCCTCCCCCGCGCCCCTCAGTTCGTTTGCCCCACACGCGCTGCCTCGCACAGTCATCCCTTAACCACTACTGTCCCCAACACCCGACATCAGCCCCAGCTGTGCTCAATGCAACTCCGAAACACGCACCCGTGCTAACTTCACCATGACTCAAACTGGGGAGCAACCTAACAGCCCACATTCTCAAAACTTGTAGCCATGCCCTCCTCGTCAGCTTGTCTTTCCCCGACCACGACACAACCCTCCCACTATATGTGTTCAACACCTCCATGTCGTCCTCACCAATTCTAATGCCCTGCCCTCGCCGCCTCCTCGATTTTCTGCGACTCACCCCTCCATAATAATGAAAGCATATCGTGTTGTTTGCGAATTCTTCTCACTCCCAGTATTCCCACGACTTGATACCGCCATGACCCACCCCCCTTCTTTTGAATCGTCTTCGACGTACCTCTGTCATCCACATTTGAGTTTCTGTCTGTATCTCTGATTCGTGCCTCATCTTTTGTCACACTTTCTCTTCCGTGACCCGGTCATCGTGGACCCCCCCAGCCCCTTGGGAGCCAGCCGTTCCGCGGGCGCCGCTCAGCACAGAAAGCGAAACTCCTAAGGATCGGCTACCCAAGCCTGTGTCCAGCCCCCCACTCACATATGGACCACACCCTTCTAAGTATCCCTGCCCCTCGCTATTCTCTTACTGCAAACCATGGTTATGCCACACTCTTCACGAATGGAGAAGTGAAACCGTCTGCGAACATTGACAATATTCACAAGACAGACATTCCCCCCTGTGCCTTCCTGGAACCTACCTTCGTCCCACCGACAGACCCTTCGAAGGAGGTTGGAAGATTAGGTCAATCCTTACCTTTGATGTCTGTATAATTCGCTCGGCTTTCTCCCGCCCGTACAAAACTCTTCCACCGTGAAAACGCAGAGCAATCTAGCAATCTAAACACTTCACTGTCCGCTTAAGTCTAATTCTCTACTTCACCATGTCGCACACATACCAGAGCATACCGCTGCTTTCTCTGGAAACAAGAGTTTAGCGGCGCCGCAACTCTACATCCCGCGATTTCATGTAGAATCTGTTACACTGCTGTGGTTTCACCTCTCCGAGCAGTTGTGCAACCCTTGCTCTATCCACAATACTTCTTTCAACGCGATATCTTACCCACTTGGGGGCCCTGTTAGCCCCGCCTCCATCCTCCTTTGCGGCCGTGGGGTCGAAGATGGGCGTTGGCAGTACTCATACGAAAAAAAGACCAGTCTTGTTGATATGACTACAAAAACCTCCATGCTGGAGGTTAGCTTAAACTGCTACTATGTAATCACACTTTAAAAAGTTGCAATTCATCTTTTCGAACGTTGACCGACACCCTCCCTACTCTTCCATCCTATACGTTTGTTGCTTCAAGAGTTCTACTTCCCCCCTGTGCCAACACCCCCTCCTGGCCTGGCTTACCGTCCGCACTTGCTCCTAACACCCGACATCCATACTGAGTTTTCTTGATGTGCCACCTCACCCGAGGAATCGCCCTCCCTCCATGCACCCCCCCACCCCCCCACGCGCGAACTCGCGCGCGTACATAGTCTACGAAGGCGTTACTTTTGACGCGCTCAGCATCACCTTATATCTATATATATCAAGAACATAGACTATTGACTGCTTCACAGTTGCGTTATGCTAGTTAGTTCTATGCTTACGCACGATCGCCCAACTGTCATCAAAGCTTCTCTGGAAGTGACCTTGCTCATTGTTTCACCCGGAGCCAGTGGACGCATTTCGGGAACCAATTATGCTCTTCCTGCCCGTGTCGATCGGGCATTTGACAGTATACCATCGAAAAGACCAGCTTTTGACGCTACTAACAAACCTTTATACTGGCGTAGTAGTAAAATTGCTCTATATAAATAACATGTTCGGTATCGAAAAACCTTTTGTCAAGGTCTTTCTCTATTTCCGTTGTGATAGTTTTGAACTCAGGCGCTTGCTTGGTTACGCAATCGCATTATTTTTGAACGCAGCTCAGCATCGCAATAAATTTGGAATGCAAATAAAATGAACTGATTGACTGCTTCGCGTTGTGTTTTCTAGCATGGTCAATGGTTACAGGCTCACTTTATTGAGTTGTCCTAGTTGAATTTTTCGGTATTGCAGCGATACTTCTGACTGTGTTTCATAAAAAGAAAACGAATGATTTTTCTGTAGTGTAACCCACTACAAGTCTTGAACTTTGAAATCCCATCCTTTTTTCCGTTTTGTGATCGGTGTGCCTTTACAACCCTTATCGAATTAAGGTCATGGTAGATGTACCTCACCTGAACGCCATCGTCAAACGCGACATGAGAGAACGAATGGAGCCTTGGCAGATTGCGGCACTGTCACCATCTCATCAGGTCGGGTTTGAAAATATCATATGTCAAATAAGTTTATCCCGTATGGGCTGTAGAATTTGGTATTCGCCTTCATTTCCAGATGATTATGTTGAAGTGACATTTTAGAAGCGTCTCGTTTGGGATTCAGCACCGCTGTCGATGAACTACATTGTACAAGTGATACATGTGCATGATAACGCATCACCAGATGCACTCCAATCGGACAACATCATGGATGCGATTGAAGTGTTTGCAAAACGTCTGCGAAACGTGACGAAAATACAGGTTCGTGAGTTTTCTGAAAGCTACTTTTATGATCAGAAGTTTTATATCATCGAATTTTTTTTACTGCTATTGCCTTTTATAATTGCTGTTTGAATTTTCGAAAGAACTTCATTTCAGAAACTTCTATTCCATTGTTTGTTTATTATGATCAGGGCCTGGCGTAGGGGTATGAAATGAGAATGGTTTATTTAGTTGTCAATGTTCTTTTGAAACGTGTGACCCCTCTCAGGTGTGGTCCTTTCACCCACGGTAAGCCTCTCTAGTCCATTGACCTCAATGGTGCGTAAAGTACCACCATAGAGTACCATAGGTGTACCAACAAGAGTAAAATTCTTGTCACATCAGTAAATACAAATTATTGGACTCTGGTTGAAGAGCGCAAAGCATTCCCATGAATCGTTGTTTAACTCCGTATTTTCCCAGTTAGAATTGCTTATTTGACAGTTTTTTCCCGCATCATTTGCAACCGTCTTGCACCAAAACCTACATAAGGGCAGCGGAGATGAACAACCTTATGCTCGGGATCCGGGTGGGAAAAACAAGTGAATACGAAAACGGCATAGCCCAAATTCATTATTTTTCGTTCTGCGAATTTCATGTTGATGTTTTCATTTTCAGCTCAGTTCAGAACATTTGTGGGACTTCGAGATTTCGAATTTCCTAGAAACGGATGTTCAGGGCAGATCAACTCTTTCACAACAGGGAATGGAACGCCTGCTGAAGGAGGTAAGAACATTCGTGTTTTCGGGCTGTGGATTTGTTTTCCGCTTTGGTTTCCGATTGTGCTACAAATGCTGGTTTCGTACACATTTTTAGAGGTTTCGAACTGAAAATAGGACTCATTGATAAGCTCTTTCCCTAGGTCGATTCTCAACTGCAATCGGTAGAATCATCGGTACCTGTTTTGAAAATAATAATTGTCGAGGTGGACGTCCCTGTGGTGATGCTGGACGCTTTTGTGAGTGCCCTTTCATTTGCGAATTTCTTAAGCAAGCTCGACTGTCATTTTTTTCGTAAGTTAACGAGTTTATGTGATTGCTGAGCTATCCAATAACCCTTACAGGGCGAAGATACTCGTGGAGCTGCGGTGGCGTCGTGGGGAGCAGTTATACCACGAATTGGCGTTGGTGAGACCCAGGAAGCAGCATATCCTGCTGCTCGTGTGCTTGGCGCTCTGCGAGTACTACTTGGAGTGGACAGTGATCTGCCAACCACCTGGAAACGAGCCTCAGTACCATTAGCTGTTTGGGAAGCAGACAGGATGCGACTCAGGGCAGTTATAGACAATGCGATGCGTGCTATGTCAGCTGTAAGTGCGCTCAAGGTGAGTATCTGCTTGTTCTACTAATATAGCGGTAAAGCGGGAAGCTGTTGCAGCCATTTATAATACCATTTATAATGCAGTAGTTTAATACAAACAGTGCTGCTTCAGTTTCCTTGCTGGCAGGACCAGGTTACTTCCATTTTTTGTCTGCTTCTTCAGTCCACGACATGTTGTTTTGCAGCAGTTTCAAATACCCTCTACTTTTACGTTAATTTTTTGTTTAATTAAGGCATTGACAGTGAAGATCACGAATGTTGTGATTGGCGATGATGTAGCGGCTCGGGCAAACCAAGCTGTTCGTCTTGTTAGAGAAGGCTTGACAAATTCAAAAGCACCTCAACTTGATAAGGTAAGCACCCAATGTTAGGTCAAATGGGTTTCGAAAATTGTCTCGGTGTTTTAGTTACTTGGGGAAGATGAGATAAGTATAGTTTGTTGTTCTATTTTTTTAATTTCGCTCATGCAATAGCATAAAGGTGACCGGTGTTTTTGAAAATGATAAATCGACAGGTGTCACAACTCAAATATTCATAGTCATTCATAGTCACGTTAGTGTCAAAAAAAAAGAAAAAAAAAAATAAAAAAAAAAAAAACAAAAAAATAAAATTCTCGCTCTGATAGGTATATTTCTGCAGAAATCGCGTACAGGAAAGTGAAAGTGAGTGATAATATGGTGGATAGCTCGTTTTGAACGGTATAGTCACGAGCTAATTCAGCTTTTTTTTTCAAAAGATCGGTTAATTAGTACCTTATTCGCCGAGCAAGATACAACGCGATCGTGTCCTGTGTTCATTTATGGTTAAATGCCCACTCACCCATGTGTGCCCAGATCAAAAAAGTTGGGTGCGTTCGGACCATCCTAGAGGAAATTGTTACTGTCAGGCCTTAAAAACTCGTCTTCCTGTTCACTTCTCCATTTCCTACAGTCATGGCGCAGCTGACCATGCTGCATAAAACCCATTGAAATATCTCCTTCCTGAAACCAGGACGGGATTGATTGTGTGGCGTATGCCAGCCTGCTGCATAACTGATGACGCATCTGTCCCTCATCCTTCGTTTATGCTCCTTCAAAATCAGCTGGAAGGAGAAAAATGATCTAGTTCTGCGATACGCCACGCATTTTCACTTCAATTTGCAACGTGGAGGCAGCAACACTTCGCCAAAACAGCCAATCAGTATGAAGCTGAAAGGCAGACTTGCTGTCGGTTGACTTACCAGACGGTGGGATGGAAGCCTTGGCTGGTTTGGAGGGATCATCCCAGAGATCGTCGTGGGCAGGGGACACCATTTCTCGGTCGGTCACTTCCAACTTGGCAAGTGGCACGCTTACCACGCGAGCGGTCCGGGGATCAAATCCTGGGTCGTGAGTCGCCCGGGCCAACCAAGCCTTCCATCCCTCCGGGGTCGGTTAATTGGTACCAGACTTGTCTGGGAGGATAAAAACACTGACTTGAACATCGGCTGGCCCCCGCAAGTCATTGTATAGGCCACATCGCATTCAAACGCCACTGCGAATGTACAAATGGAAGTAGAATGCGTGCCCCGTGCATTGCTACTTATGGATAACTCTCCACTGGAATTTTTCAGATATCTGCTGGTCGCGTGATGGCGGACGAAGCGCTTTCACATCCTTCACTTCTGGCAATGTTATACTTCCCAAAGGATCAAACAATGGCCGTATACCTCCCGATCATGTTACCAACTCTCGTTCCGTTGTTCGGATCAATTGTAACGCTCTTTAAATGGGCTCTAGGATGGTCGTAAATGCTCAAGTGCGATCGTAAAGCGCTGTGCTCATGTAATCTCTCATTAATTCCACGCTCGCCGATGATTCTGATAGCTGTTTACGGGATTTTTCTCACTGTTGTTGTGCTTTATTTTCCTTTTTAAGATTTTTTTTTCGAATGTTTTGAGTGATGATTCACTATAAATCGTCAAAATTTTATGTGATCTACATCCGCTTGATTGAAATTGGTTTGACTAGGTATAAGTTTTCCATGAAAAGCGCCGCCACTCGTTTATCCTGGAGAGACTGTGGCTGTAGACTAGAAAGTGTGGAACAAATTATTACATTTATCAGCGCTATCGCAATATACGGGGGCATCCTTCAGGGTAAGCCTAAGAGGGGCAGGGAGGGACGGGGGGTGGCTTAGGGACAATGGAAATCGCGCATCCTCGAGTCTCTCCTCTCCTAGCATAGTCCGTTGTCAACAAAAATGAGATGTTTCTTGCGGTCTTAAATGTTATGCTGCTACCGTAATGTCCTCATATCTTGCGATAGCGCATATTTATCTTATACATTAATTACTGCATCAGGATGTCCTGCTCAAGGGAAAGCAGGAGGCTGGTGTCAATATAAACTTGTCATGAAGAAATACAGATGTAAAAATATGCATTAGATATGACACAAAAATCTCAAAAAAGGACCTGAAAATCCTTTGAATAAAAGTGAGGTGCGTCAGGAACCTATATTATCTCTTAGTTTCTTTCATGTCTGAACATAGCCCAGTGATACCATTGTGGAAAGACATTGAGGACAGAGGATAAAGGATTAAGCATTCAGCGTTGATAGCT